CATAACGTCGACTCATCAGACTCTTTGACCTCTTTTCACTTTCTGGGCAAACTCAATCACCGCAAACCAATCATCTTTTGATAAATTTATATTAGGTAAGGAAGGAGTTGGGAATCCCTTGGAGACAGTAAATCGCGTAGATCCAGTGAAACACTTGTTCTCTCTCTCAAGCCTCTCTTTCTCTCTCAGTACTACCTCTTCAGCAAATCCTCAACAWCTCYCATACACTGCGTCAGCACTTCTTTCTTTTGGGACATAGATTCTCACATCATACACATCCAGATCTGTGAAATAGAATGTCAATACATATAATCGTTCCTGCTCCCATCCGCTCTCGAACATCTCATACCTGACAACTTCATATGRAAATGTCTCTCTCTTGCTTAGAGTATTCAACGACCTTAGGAGACCTTCAATCTTCTCTTGACTTGGACCCGAACCTCTGTCAAAATTTGACCTTCTTTGTYTGATTACTTCTGCTGAAATCCYTTCAGCTCTCATGACCAMTGTTTCTTTTTTCCTTTGTCAATACCATGTTGATTATTGRCAGCCAGTTAGTCYCATCACAATAGYTRTCACGTATAGTAGGGATTGAAACAGTCTTGTATGTTATTKGYATTATACCCCATTCCACTTTCTTCTTTCGCCTGATCRAGTCTGTCTTTTCGTCATAAATAAACTGGATCACGATCTCCCAAAACCAGTTAAAATTATCACCATCATTGCGGCCTCCTTCCTTGATATATGGGTGGATATCATAGATATCTCCCTCCAAGAAATGGGTCAGCACTACACARCTGGTTGAGCCACAAGAATGATAGCCCCAACAAGYCTCATATCTGTAAAGAAATATCCCTCTTGTAGTAAATTTAGATAATTCTTTYAGAACACCGTCGRCCAGCATTTGTCTCGATCCGTCTCACTCTCTTCCTTTCAATTCCCTTCAGTACGTTGAGCGATAATTGGACATACCTGATATCAAGCTCGATTCTCTCCAGTCAATAATATCAATCTCCTTTTCCCGATCCAGTGTGGTACCTCACACAAGGAAGAAATAATTCASAGTTAGTAGTCGTGCTTCTCAAGAAAATCGAGATTTGAATGA